AAGCCAACCATTCCGTAGGTGATATACCGGTAGGGGAGCTCAACCTCCATGTGCTGTCTTGCTTTTCGAATGTCATCACATGGTACATTGGAGATTTTACAGGCTAAAGGAATGGTGATCTTTTTCATTATATCTCTGACTATCAGAACAAATGTCATTCCTATGAGGATCCGCAATATGGCTTTTCCAAACAGAGTCACAGTGACAGGGGGCATCGCTAAAGGTAGTAAGTCGAGAGAAGGATCTAATATTAGACCCATGCTGTAAGCCATATGAGAGCCACATGCGATTCCAGCACCACTTCCGAGAATTTCAGCTGTGTCTCCTCGGGATGTACTCCAGGTGTCAAGAGTAAAAGAAAAGATCCCCAAAACTAAATGAAGCCCGATGATGATCAATGGCGCACATTTGTGAGTTTGGTTGAAGTTGTCAATCAGGTCCACAAATGGATAGAAGATAGCTAAGATTAAAATGGTATATAGGAATCCAGCAATAATGTCCTGGGAAAAGATAAAAGTAGAGTTGTTTAGTGCAATACTATTTCTGGCATTTAAAATTAGTATATATTTCACATTCCAAATGTTGAATAGATACAAATTTTTACAAAGACAAATTCTCAAAGTAAACTTTATGACCTGACCATGTATATAGGCACTAAAACTGTTTAATGATAAAAAAGATTTTATTAATAATAATTATGAGCTTTGTTTTCATAGTTTTATTTCCTTCCATAAGTTAACTGCATATATAGTATATACAAATTTATATTTAGATTCTGAACAATAAACATTAATTGTGCAATTTTATTTCTGGAGGAAAGTAAACTTATTATTCAAAGAACTGACCTTCACTTGCTGTCATACAGCTAACATTTTAGTGGGAAAGACTGACAACAACCATGTTAGTGAGAGAACAGATGACTAATACAGTTTCAGAGTTATAAACGTAATGAAACCAGAATAGGATGAGTTACTATGACAAAGAACCCTAATTAGAGTGATTAGAGAAGCCTTCTGAAGAGGTATCACTTAACAAAGATCTAAATCTAAAAGGGAGCCAGCCCCATCTCGAGAGCTAGAGGAAAAGTGTTCCAGGTAGAAGAAAAACTAAGAGTGAAGAAAAGTCCTTGTAGCAGAAAAGGACGTGGGAGTCCAAGAAACTGAGCGTGTGACTTGAATAGTAAGCAAAAGAAAGCAGGATACGAAACAAGGTCAAAGAGATAGGCGGAAGTCCAATTGTGTAGAGCCCTTACAGGCCAGGGACAGAGCTTAGATTTTATTTCAAAAGTGATAGGGAGCTGGATGTGATGATACACACCTGTAATTCCAGCACTGGCAGACGTATGGAGAGTTCTAGGACAGCCTGGGCTACATAGAGACACCCCGTCTCAAAAAACAAAAACAAAACATGGAGCCACTGGACAATTTCAACATAGAAGTGGGACACTGATATTTAAGAGTGGTATTAAATGTGGCTCAAGCAGATCACCTGCCTAGCAAGCACAAAGCCCTGAGTTCAAACCCCAATACTATTAAAAAAAAAAAGAGTGCTCCATCTGCCAGTGAGAGGATGAGTTGTAGTAGAAAGTGGAGGACTAGAGACTAGTGAGATACTAGCAGGAGGCTGCTGCTGTGGTCCACCCACACCATGGTCCACATTTCCATGAAAAGAAGAATGCAACTGTTCTGTTGTTGTTGTTTTGTGGAACTGGGGATACAACCCAGAGCCTCCAGCATGCTGGACTAGAGTTGACAATTTTAACTTAGTGACAACCCCTAAATTTAGGCAGGAGCAACTGGGTTTTTCACCGTGATAGATTCAGGTGCTCTGGTTCTAATTTCAATAAACCAGTGGTGGCAGTATGGCTTCTAGCAATAGACCATATTGTTGTAATGCACTGTCTTTGATCATAAAAGCACTATCGATGGTTTTAGGGGTTTCTATATTCTTAAATTAAAATGCAAATTTAATACATGCTCACTGCTGGAAAACTAAGAAATGCAGATCACAATAAGTAGTTATTACCCAGCAATAATAACTGTTAAAACTCATAATGTCCACTGTTCCAGCCTCTTCTAACATGCTTTTGCTCTGCTTTGGCTCTATTTTTATTTCCTGATATAAAAATGGGATTGAGAGTTCATGCTCCCATGATACCTTTCTAAGAATACTTTCTATGTGTACACAAACAGTTAATATAATTTTGGGTAAATGTAATTACAGCATATTCATAATTTTAGTAATGTAGAAACAAAATAGCAATTTCTCAACTGCTCAGCTAAATAACTTAAACACATTTTGTAGGGCTGGCAGAATGGCTCTAGTGGTATAGCACCTGCCTAGCAAGCAACAGGCCCTGAGTTCAAACCCCAGTACCACAAAAAAAAAATTCTAGAAATGTTGAGCCATTAGTAAGGATAAGAAAAAATTATATAACCCATTAGAAATTTAGTGTCTCTTGAATTAGTTCATTTTGCCATCTTTTTCTGATCCTTTATCTATAATATAATAGAAAACACATCACTAGAGGGCCTGAAGAGAGCACATGCCATGCTGAGGGTAGAGAGGAGAGGTTCGGTGATGCCCTCAAGGAGCTTCGAGTCTAGTGCAGGGACTGAAGGGCACAAAGCAATCCTGACTTTGAATAAATGGAGAAGGTTGCCTGACCAGTCTTGAGAACGGGAAGATGGACAAGGTAATGGGCCTTTTTGACGCTAAGAACATCCACAGTGAGTCATGAAGAATGAAAGGGACAGCTGACCAGGCACAGAAAGTGAACAGGGTTCCAGCACTCCTGACATCTTGGAGATAGGAAACACCCTGCGTTTGGGGGTGATGTGTAGTCCATTAGGCCATCTACTTGTGTTTGGGAGCACGTACGACACAGGACGCTGAATGCAAGATGGAGTGTACTCAAGTATAAAGCAGGGCTACTCGTTAAGAAGCCACTAGGACTGCAGGTATGGCTTTGCAAACACAAAGCCCTGAGTTCAAACCTTGGTCTCACCAAGAAAGAAAAGAAAAGAAAAGAAAAAAGAAGCTACTAGCTGGGCTCATGCCTGGGCTCATCCTAGCTTAGCTCATCAGAGGGCAAGGATCAAGAAAATCAGTCCAGGCCAGCCTGGACATAAAAGTGAGACACCATTCAAAAAATAACTAAAGCAAAAAAGGGCTGGAGGTGTGGCTCAAGTGGTAGAATGCCTGTATAGCATGCACAAGGCCCTGAATTCAAATCCCAAGACTGCAAAAGAAAAAGAAGCTACTGAGGGGTGGGTATAGTGATGTACACCTGTAATCCCAGCACCTGGGAGGCTAAGGGATCAGGATCCTGAGTTCTGGGCTACACTGTGAGTTTCTAGACCAGCTGGAACTATACAGCGAGACCCTGTCTCAAAAAAACAGAAAAAAAAAAAAAAGCAGCCGCAGATCAGTAATTTGGTTGATACATGATGGAGGCCAGAGCTAAGGACATGCTGACAGAGACAGGGAACTGCAGTGAGTGGGTGGCTGCAAGTGGAGCAGCATCCCTGTGTGAACTGCATTCTTAAGATAAAATGCCCTAACAATACTGATGGAGAAGAGTAAGAGTTTCATGCAGAAACACAAAGGCACAGGCACCATGAAGACCGTAGTGTCTAGTCACTGTGCCTTGCCTGACATGCACAGCTCTCCTTGGTCCCAGGCACAGCTGGTGCATGAGATTCGGTGATCGGAGGACAGGAAACAGATTCCAAAGGAAAAGAAGGGGCAAATGTGACCCTGAGTGTGACACTTGGCTACTGCGATTGCTGCAAACCATCTCTATGAACAAAATATACACTTACTACACTAACACTTCACAAGTCACCATGCTGGTAATTTTGCATAACAAAAAAGTTTTGCAATAACTGCATTTTCTCATTTACGTTTCACATCAACTTGCAAATGATTAAAATGGTAAAATTTCCTGTCAATGTCAGTAAAAAAAATAAACAAAGCATGATGGACACCAATGTTTTCCTTACCAGAATGGAGTGCATTCCCATGTAAATTCTACTCAGGCAAACGAGAGAACACCAGCAGGGAATGAGAATCAGTCCGTATATGAGAGGATACTAAAGGGGCAAAAAAAAGCAACATTAGTTAATCAACTTAGAAACAACCAACCGGATAAAAGCCAGATCACTGCAGGGTAAAGCCCCAGGACATCAAGAACACAGCTTTACTCCTCGTTGTATTCCCAGCCCCTCACCCTAAGCATGGCACCGAGCAGACATGAAAGGCACTTCTGCACACAGACTCAATCACTGGCACACGCAGGAGAACAGAGGGCAGGCTTTCTTCTCCTACAGTTCCAAAGTCAAAGAGCCTCTGGGGCATCAACTGAACCTGGCCACATACTGGTCCCCTTCCCTGCGGGGAGGGGTGGGCACTGCCATACTCTTCTACCAGCTGCCGCCTGTCCTCATCCTTCCCCTCCTTGTTGGAGGGGAACACTTTGTACTTAGTTTTCCACTTCTGTGCCCTCCACTAAAATTTCAAATGGTAACTTTATTGAGAAAAATTTGAGGGTGGTGGTGGTGGTGGGGACATACTAGGAAACAGAACCCACAAAAAGAAGGAAAGCATAAACACAAAGTACAGCCTGCTCTTGGTATCGGTGACACCAGGGGAAAGGCTGGCTTCAGGCGTCCAGAGCCACAGGGCAGAAGGCGAGAAAGGAGGCCATGAAGAGTGAAGAGACTGAAAGAAAGAAGGGAGGCACACGTAGGCAGCTCAGGCCTGATGGCTTCAGGTATTTCAATGACACTGAAGCTAAGGTGGTTAAAAAGTGGAGATGAAAGAAGAGAGTTGAGGGAGTAAAAGATTTCAAGTAAAAACTTACAAGTCTTTATATCATTTGCAAATACATAAAAATTCACCTAACTCCCACAGGTTACTTGGTGTGCTAGATGACTTTTTAAATTTTTTTATTTTTTAATTTTTCAGTACTGGGGAGCGAAGGCAGAGCCTTGCACATGCCAGGCAATCACCCATCAAGCCGCATCCCCAGCCCCTTCCTCAACGTTTTTAGTTCATGACACTGTCTAATCCTCTCATTGCACATCCTTGATAACAGGAAAAGAAGAGTCTCAATGCTTCCTTCAGTTATGCTACAGGACAGTTTCATTTTCCTGATAAGCCTTCCTAATCTAGCTACCTTACATAATCAGAAATACTTTGTCTATTGGGGTATTTTCCACTCACATGAAATGAAGATAGTGCACAGTCAAGAAAATGACTCGCACTTGAAGCAATTACAGAAACTGTCCCGTGTGTGTGTGTGTGTGTGTGTGTGTGTGTGTGTGCGCGCACTGGAGATTGAACCGATGGCCTCCTGTGTGCCAGACCCAGTCCTTTTAGTAGTTTTTAAATTTTTCAAAGTAACTAAATAATGGGACAAAGACAGGCCCCAGAGAAAAAATTCTATTTTGAATTCTAGTAATGGATACACTATATGTAAACAACAGGTGACAACAGTGACACATTAAAGATAGATACTTCATGTTCTCACACACTACAAGTAGAAGATAAGTTGATACAATCTGCAGAAAAGCATTTCATCAACCTGTGAGCAGTCTAAATAATCACATACACTGACCCAGCAATGCTTCTCCTACAATTCTACACTAAGGACTCAGAATGTAGGTAAATATTGAAAAATGTCACAAAATTAGTTGTATCACACAGTAATGAGGAAATCAATATGTACTAGCTTTCATCACTTACTACATGCATTTATTGGAATTCTAAAAGTGTAAGTCACAAAATCAAATTATGTTAAGAGAAAAAGGAGGTGGATTGTGAGGACAGAGTATCTCACAGTGCCTGAGGGGGATGGGGCAGAGCTTGGAGAAGAAACTGGAAGTGTACATGACAGTCCCAGGACCAGTTCTTCTTTGTACATATCCACTCCATTTTTCTTTTTCTGTAGACAGCTTCTCTGCTCCTCAGTGCACACGGCAGAGGAAGCCTTCTGAATTTGCTTCTTCTCAGGAAACCAGCCTAAACCCATACCTATTTTCTCACTCCTCCAGCCTGAGACCACATAGGGAAGATGAGGCTGCCCCACAGCTGCGGGAGCTTTTACCTGGCTGTGACCTATGCAGACTCCCCAAGAGGTGTCAGCTTCTTCAGCTGTAGCACCACTGGGTAGCTACAAAATCTTCTTGACTATAAGTGGATATAATAACATGTATAATAATCATAATCTTTTTTTCTTAACATTTTTTTTTATTTTATCATTTTTACATTTACTCACATGTGCATACATTGTTTGGGCCACCTTCCCCCCACCCCCCACTTCAACAATCATAATTTTGCAGTATAAACACTGTTTTATAGGAATATGAAAATATTTCATTAAGAATATTTTCTGGGGCTGGAGGCTCAAGGCTGAAGCTCTGAGTTCAAACCCCAGTATATTTTCTAGTGAGCATGGTGGCACATGTCTGTAATCCTAGCACCTGGGAGGCTGAGGCAGGAGGAATGAAAGTTTAAGGCTGGCCTAGGCTACATAACAAGACTCAGTCTTGAAAAAAAAAAGGGGGGTGGGGGTGATGGAATATTTTCTAAGAATTTTTACCAATGGGAAATGTTAATGACATAGTATGTTAGTCAGGGTTCTCCAGAAAAACAGTACCAAATAGAATGTGTGCATATACATGATATATATGTGTGTGTGTGCACGTGTGTGTACATATGCATATGCATGTATGGTGTGTGTTGCATGTGGAGAGAAACTGACTTTAAGGAGCTGGTTCATGCTATCATGAGGCTAGCATGTCCATTATCTGCAGGACAGCAGGCCCAGAGAAGAAGTGAGGTACAGCCAAGCCACCTGCTGGCAGAACCCCTTCTTCCTTGAAGGAGGTCAGTCTTTTTTCTTTGGAGGCCTTCAGGTAATTGGGCCTTTATGGAGGATAGTCTGCCTTAGTCAAAGTCTCCTTTAAGTCAAAATGTTAGTTTTGTCTAAACAATATCTTCCCAGAAGCATCTAGAATAAGGTTTGGCCAAAAATCTAGGTATTGTGGTGTAGCAAGTTGACACATAAATTAAGCATCATATAAAATATTAAATAAAAGATAATCAACTCGGTATACAATATGATCCTAATTATTTCCAAATTGTAAGGAAACTCTGCTAAGTACTTGCCTTGTGTAGCAGTGGCCTATCTCTTACTTTCACTTCTAGTTTCCTCAATCATATGCTCTTTTTGTGTAGTATAATCTACACCCATCTATTCTGAAGACTTCCCCATTTTGGACCCTGTAGCGTGGCCCAGGAGACACAGCTGCATGATGCCCAATACACAATGCAGTTGTCACTGCTCCCCTGACCACGGCTATTTGAACAAGACATGGACACTTGGCCCTGGCAAAGCAGATCTTCTGGCTGGGCAGAACAAGCAGATTTGGTTTTTTTCTAACAGTAATGTAAATGTCTCTGCTGTGTGCTCGAATAGTAAATAGCACAGACTAGGGGTGAGGCAGATGTGGGCATGCCAAGCCTCTGGCTTCTATGAAATGCCCCTCTAGTCTGCAAAGAAATTTCCTCTTTTTGCTTAACCTAGTCCAGCTGTGTTTACTATGACACCACACACACACACACACACACACACACACACACACCCCTTATAGCTATTCCCTGAGGTATCTTCTTACCTCTCAAATGGCTTCTTGTCCAATTGTGTTGCAGGTTCTCCTTCCTCTATCCATTCCTTACATATTGATAGCTTAAGAGGTCTCCCCAGACCCTCTGATTTTCTTGCTGAGTGTCCTTCCCAGGGCATCATTGTCCACCCTCACCACTTCACCCTTCACCTGATGTGATGACACCAAACCTGTCTGGGTCTTTCATGGGCAGAGCTGCTGCCTTGAACAGACAGACCTTCAACCTCAGCGTATCTAGCACTGGAATCACCTCTGTGCCCTGCACTTTCCTCAGACACAAGCTGCTTCCAAAACCTGCCCCTCCACAAGTCAAACGACTACCTCCCAGCTTCCCAACAGCAAACCGGGCCATGTTCCTTTATTGCTTTTTCCCTTTCATTATGCCACATCCAATTAGTCACCATGGCTCGCCAATTCTACCTTTAACATCTGTCAAACTCAGCCTAGGGACGCGTGACTGAGGCCCTGGGTTTCATCCTCAGCACCACAAACAAACAAAAATCTACCAAATTCATCCATATCTTCCCTCCTGTCATAACCGTTCTATTGTTAGGGGTAAGCAAAGTTTTTGACCACAGTCAGACAGTCACAACTTAGGCTTTGTGGGCCACACACAGTCTATGTGTGTCAAACTACTCAATTCTGCAGTTTGGGGCACAAAAGCAAGCAGAGGATATAAAAACAAGTGGACCTGGGCAGGTTCCAATATGCTTTACCTTCAGACATGAAAACTTTTGAGTTTTACATAATTTTCACATGTCACAAAATATTCTTTTGGCTTTTCCCAACTATTTAAACATGTGAAAACCATTCATACTTCACAGGTCATTAAAAAAGGAGAAAAAGCAGGCAGCAGGGTTGGGATGTGGCTCAGCAGTAGAGCCAGGCTGTAGTACATCTCCAGCTTCCCCCGACAAAGACCTAACCACCTCCTCAGTCTCCTCTCCCTGCCTCCCACACTGCACCTCCCTCCTTTCTCCATACTATAGACCAAGAATCTTTCCAAAATACAACCCACTTTCCTTCATGAAGCAAATTCATTCATTTTATTCACACTGATACACACAGGGCCCACCATGTTTTATACAATGTATTATAAAAAGTTACATTTGTTGATTCAAATGTAGATTAAAACCCAGTATTCAACAAGAGAAAAAAAGTGTACCATTACAGCGTAACTGTTCTCACATTTCTTCTGTATGGAGCACAGGAGACTCTTCACACAGATTACTAAAGGAATGGAAAGTGCAACAAGGCTGTGAGATTTTATCAGAGAAATGTAAGCCAACCCATTTTCTGTATTCCGAATACAAAACTTAAACACTTGGATTTTAACAAGACAGCATTTATGAGTGTGACAGAAAATATAAAGTAACTAGAAATAGCTCTTTATGCTTGAGCTA